CTATCACCAGAGAAAGCAGGACACTGAACTCCATCTCTGGAAATCTAATAATATGTCACAGAGAAGATGAACATAATGTGGAGGGAACAGAGGGAAGCAGTCACCTTAGCGAGGAAAATTCCGGAAGCATTTCAGAAAGGGTAATAGGTACCTGGCAAGTGTTTGAATGAACGGAGCTCCACTGAAATCCACACGCAAAGTAAGTTGGTTGAAAAGTGGCCTGGAGGGGCGCCTGGGTGGCTCAGTGGGTTAAGCCTCTGCCTTCGACTCCGGTCATGATCTCAGGGTCGTGGAATGGAGCCCCGCATCGCATCGGGCTCTCTGCTCAGCGGGGAGCCTGCTTCCCCCTCTCTCTCTGCCTGCCTCTCTGCCTACTTGTGATCTCTGTCTGTCAAATAAATAAACAAAATCTTTTTTTTTAAATTTATTTGACAGAGATCTCTGTCAAATAAACAAAATCTTTTTTTTTTAATTTATTTGACAGAGATCTCTGTCAAATAAATAAACAAAATCTTTTTTTTTTTTAATTTATTTGACAGAGATCACAAGTAGGCAGAGAGGCAGGCAGAGAGAGAGGGGGAAGCAGGCTCCCCGCTGAGCAGAGAGCCCGATGCGATGCGGGGCTCCATTCCACGACTCTGAGATTACGACTGACCGGAGTCGAAGGCAGAGGCTTAACCCACTGAGCCACCCAGGTGTCCCTAAATAAACAAAATCTTAAAAAAAAAAAAAAAGAAAAAGAAAAGTACCCTGGAAACCTGGGATAGAGTCCCGCATGTAGGGCTTCTGCTTAGTGGGGAGCCTGCTTCTCCCTCTCCCTTTACCTCTCTCCCCATTCATCCTCCCTCTTTCTCAAATAAATAAATCTTAAAAAAAAAAAAAAAAAAAAAAGGAAAGGAAGGGAAAGGAAAAGGAAAAAAGAAGATGGCTCCTGGCTGGCTCATCAGTAGAGCACGCAACTCTTGATCTTGAGGTTGTGGGTTTGAGGCCCACGTTGGATGTAGAGATGACTTAAAAATGAAATCTTTTAGGGGCGCCTGGGTGGCTCAGTGGGTTAGAGCCTCTGCCTTCGGCTCGGGTCGTGATCCCAGGGTCCTGGGATCGAGCCCCTCATCGGGCTCTCTGCTCGGCAGGAAGCCTGCTTCCCTTCCTCTCTCTCTGCCTGCCTCTCTGCCTACTGTGATCTCTCTCTGTCAAATAAATAAATAAAATCTTTAAAAAAAAAAAAAAAAAGAAATCTTTTAAAAAGAAGAAAAGTACGCTCTTTTGTATAGGAACAGACTGGGAAAGATATTTGAAAGGTTTCGGGGAACCTTTCGTTTGTTAACTCTGTGTCTTTACATATGAAAGAGAGAAGCATGGGAAATACAGATGGTTTCTCTGAATTGTTTTCTACTAATCAGATTCTATTGTGACAAGGACGTTAGAACAAACGTCTATTGAAAAGTCTAGAAAGAGTGCTGGATATGTTATCTTGATCGTGGTAAGTGGTCTTACAGGTAGATGTGTCTGTTGAGACACGCCACACGCCACGTTGTAGACTTGTTGGAGTATTTGCAGTTTATTGGGCATTCAATTTATATCTCAATAAAACTGTGCAAAAAAGTGTCCTAGACTCTTGTTATTCCAAATGTCTACAGACAGCAGCAGCCCAGGAAGCTTATTAGAAATGCCTCCCTTCTGACTCCCTTCTCAGTTTAACAAGCCACTCAGGTGATTCGCATGCACGGTAAAGTTTGACCTCTTGTTATAGCAAATGTTTGGAACTCACTTCCCATAATGAGTAGTTAAAGGGAAGTTATATTGCCTAATCTTTTTTAGCTCACTAAGAGCAACTAACTACCTGCAAGATAGTTCTCTATGGCTCTAGTAGGAAGAGGTTTAATTGTTTGGTACAAAGGATACGCTGATTTTTCAAGGCCCCTACAACTAGAAGCAGTTGTTTCTGCTGAAACTCCTTTCAGAGCTCTCATGTACATAGCTCCTTCCAAGGACTTTGGAGGAGCCCAGCAGTATATTCACCTAGTCCAAAGTTTCTGTAAGAATTTCTAGAGTAAGATGTTTAAGACCACTGTCCCTCTGCATTCTGACTTCTGTGACTCCTCTGTGTTTGGTGCTTAAGGAATGGCCAAGGGCTTCTTTGGGATCTTGCTAAAGGGACAATAAATCGATTAAGGGATACTTTTTTTTTTTTTTTAAGATTTTATTTACTTATTTTGGAGAGCGAGAGAGCGAGCACAGGGGGAGGGAGGAGCCAGGGGGAGAGCTCCAAGTCAACTCAGCACACAGCACTGAGCGCGGAGCCCAACACGGGGCTCCCACAACTCCCAACCCTCGCCTCTGAGATCAGGACCTGAGCAGAATCCGGGAGTTGGATGCTTAACCAACTGCGCCATGTAGGCACCCAGAGTAAGGGACACGTTTAACTGGGGTTTAGCGGCAAGCATTTCTGCGCTTTGCGGTCATTTCCGGGTACTGTTAAATCATCGCTGTCCGTGGGTGTAGGAACGCTTTCTGAGGTACACCTGCTGCCCATTATGCCAACTCAGCCCTCCCTATGTCACAAAGGTGCAGGGCCAGAGGGCAAAAGAGCTCTGTGGTGCTCAGCCCATAAAATACGTGGGTAGTGGTGGGGGAAACAGGATGTGAAAGCAAAGGAGAAACTAGTCCATAGAAAATCCTTGGTGGTTGGCATCAAGAGTAAAGTCAGTGTGTCTGTCTGTAGGTGAAGTCACTTGTTTTATTCATCCTAATGGATCAGAACCTGTTTTAAGGGAGCAGACCAATCTTGTTCTGAAAACCACTAGGGATCAAGTAAAAGGTATACAGGAAATTGCCACCAAAGCAGCCCCAAAATACCATAGCTCATCTGTGAAAGCAACCTGATACTGGTTTTTCCAAATTTGACAATAATCTTTAAAAAGTACACACTAGGGGCGCCTGGGTGGCTCAGAGGGTTAAGCCTCTGCCTTCGGCTCAGGTCATGGTCTCAGGGTCCTAGGATAGAGCCCCGCATCGGGCTCTCTGCTCAGCGGGAAGCCTGCTTTCCACTTTCTCTCTGCCTGCTGCTCTGCCTGCTTGTGATCTCTCTCTCTCTCTGTCAAATAAATAAATAAAATCTTTTAAAAAAAGTACACACTAATAACAATGAGTTGTGAAGCTGAAACATAAGCAATAATAAAATACCTTTGAGCACAATGCTTAAAAGAGCACTGACCTTTCTAATTTTTTTAAGATTTTATTTATTTGACAGAGAGAGAGACACAGCAAGAGAGGGAACAGAAGCAGGGGGAGTGGGAGAGGGAAAAACAGGCTCCCCACGGAGCAGGGAACCTGAGGGGGATCCCAGGGCCCCGGGAGATCCTGACCTGAGTTGAACGTATACACTTAACAACTTGAGCCACCCAGGCACCCCTCTATTTTCTTTATAGAAAAATATCACAAAATGTTGTAGGAAGAGGTGATTAAAAGTATGCAGCCAAAAAGCGTGGGAAAGATTACCATAAATGGTGCCCATGAAGTCTAGACAGGTACATATATGCAATGCTGTCAAGGGCATTTTCTATCTTCTAAAGAATAAAATAATTACGTTTCTGGACTTTTGGACACCCTGTAGAAGTGTGTCAGGAAGTTAATGAATGCTTTACAGTTGTGTGTGTGATGCTTGTGGCTTAATTATTTTAATTTTTAAAATATTTTATTTATCTAAGACAGAGAGATCATGAGCAGGGCAAGGGGCTGAGGGAGAAGCAGACTCTTTGCTGAGCAGGGAGCACAAAGCAGGACTCCATCCCAGGACAACAAAATCATGACCTGAGCCAAATGAGCTACCCAGGCATCCCGCCTGTGACTTTTTAACTTTTCAAAGTGTCATTTGTGATTTCTCATTCTAAGTATATTTATGCACATAATTTGGGGTATTTTTCTTTAAGATTTTATTTGAGGGGGCGCCTGGGTGGCTCAGCGGGTTAAAGTGGGTTATTAGAGAGAGAGAGAGAGAGAGAGAGATCACAAGTAGGCAGAGAGGCAGGCAGAGAGAGGGGGTAAGCAGGCTCCCCACTGAGCAGAGAGCCCAAAGCGGGGCTCAATCCCAGGACCTTGAGGCCATGACCTGAGCCGAAGGCAGAGGCTTTAACCCACTGAGCCACCCAGGCGCCCAGTATTTTTTTTTTTTCTTTTTTAAGATTTTATTTATTTGACAGAGAGAGATCACAAGTAGACGGAGAGGCAGGCAGAGAGAGAGAGAGAGAACCAGGCTCTCTGCTGAGCAGAGAGCCCGATGTGGGACTCGATCCCAAGACCCTGAGATCATGACCTGAGCCGAAGGCAGCGGCTTAACCCATTGAGCCACCCAGGCGCTCCGGTATTTTTCTTTTTTAAGTAGGCTCCAATGTAGAGGCTTGAACTCAGAACCCTGAGACCAAGACCGAAACTGAGTTCAAGAATCTCAAGAGTCGGTAGCTTAACCAACTAAGCCACCAGGTACTCCTGGGGTATTTTTTTCATACTGGGGTCCCCCAAATTGTACGGTTCCCGCAAAACCAGGGTCTGATGAATTAAAACAGCCGCAGAGAAGCCAATGATTTCTCTAAAGCCTCAGCTTTCTCCTAAAAACAGTCATTCGCCCAGCATTTCCTCAGCGTTGCCCTGAAGAGCGAGTCAAAGTGGGGGACACGTTCCGGGAAGTCCACGACCCTACACGCGGGAAGGGTCTCGGTCTGGAGTGTAGGGCGCCAGCTCACAGTCACCCCGGCCTGCCCCTCTGCGACCCCCACCCCGAGGGCCCCGCCCTCCGGCGACCCCCAGCCACGCGGGCCCCGCCTCTCCGCGACACCCAGGCCCGCGGGCCCCGCCCCGCCCGCCGCTGGTGGAGGACGCGGGAGGGGAAAAGGGGGAAGAACGACGCTCGAGGGCGGACGCGGGCCGGAGGGGCGGGGCCCGCGGGGCTGGGGGTCGCTGAGGGGCGGGGCACGAGACTCAGCCCCTCTCCCGGAGCCGGAGATCCTTCTCAGCGGCGGAAGTTCCGGCGTCCGTAAGTGGAGGTCAGAGGTCAGCAGGAAGTCGATACGTGGCCGCCGCCTGTCCCCGCTGAGGAGGCGCAGCAGCCGGAGATGGCGGCGGTGCTGAACGCAGAGCGACTCGAGGTCTCCGTTGACGGCCTCACGCTGAGCCCGGACCCGGAGGAGCGGCCCGGCGCAGAGGGCGCCCCGCTGCTGCCGCCACCGCTGCCGCCGCCCTCGCCGCCGGGGGCAGGCTGGGGACCGGGCGCCGCCGGGGAGCAGCCGGAGCTAGGGGAGGCGGCGGCCGGGGGCGCGGCGGAGGAGGCGCGGCAGCTGGAGCAGCGCTGGGGCTTCGGCCTGGAGGAGCTGTACGGCCTGGCGCTGCGCTTCTTCAAAGGTGAGACGGCCCGGCCCCACCCCCGCCTCGGCCGCCCCGGCGAATCAGACCCGGGGCCGTGGCCAGAGCGTGACCGGGCCAGTCCCCGCCTCGCTCGCCCGGGCCGCGGCGACCGGAGCAAGTTCCGTCCTTGGGGGGGGGGTCCCCGAAGTTTGTCACCGGCCGCTGGGTCACACCCCTGAAGGGCCTGGAACCTCAGTGTAGCAGTCCGAGCCCTGCCTCCCGGAGGTTACGGGACGTTATACCCAATTGAGCTTCTCGGGTTGCCATGACCGGGGTGAAGAATGAGCCTTTTCTCTCGCAGAGGATCCCGTTCTGGGATGACTTTTTGTAGGTTTTTTTCTTCTTCTCCTTTTTCCTGTCGCATTCCTTTTCTTGTTTCCTATGGTAGACACATCAGACTCCACCGATTTTTACCCCTTTTCGGGGCAGGAAGAAATCTTCCTACAGGTTCTTTCCAGTCATTCTGCGGAACCGTAAACTCGGGATAGGACTTGCTCACCTGGCAGTTTTGATGTGGTAGAGAGGAGGAGATACTAAGCTAATATGTCCCCTCTGGCTAATCAGCCTCTAAAGGGAAGGGATGCCCACTATGTTCTAGTAACTTCTAGATGGTTAAATTGTACCTTGGAAACACTGTGCAAGAGTAAATTCTCACTTAAGGCCTAAAAGTACCCTCTTGTTTCTTGCAGAATTAACTGTAAAATGTCTCTTGTCTTAGAGCACGAGTGTGTGTGTGTGTGTGTGTGTGTGTGTTTTAATCGGTGATTCACTGGTGGTCATTCCAGTCACATGATCTTTTCAGTGGGAAAGACTGATGAGAAGCCAGTTAGATTTTTAGAGATATTTGGATTTTGAGGGGCAGATCTTCGACAGAATGAAACTTTAAAAGTGGTTGCTAAGGTTTCGTATACATTCCAGAACAGCGTATTTATGACACCTCGCCCAAAGGGAGTTCCTTTTGGAGTGCAACACATACTTGAGTAACTGAAGTTGTGTAGTGATTGTAGTGATACTTGCAAAAATTATTTGTTCTCTCCCTGAATAACTGCAAACTAATGAAAGTATTTTCTAAATTTTCTAGAACATTCGCTTATTCCACATTCGTTGTATTTTTGAATTAAAAAGATTACCCTTGAAATACTCATTGTCATTGGACAGGGAGTTCAGCTTTCCGTGCACTGGCCTGCTTGGGGAATTGGTAATAGCTAATGGGGTTTGGATCACTTGACCCTTAGGTCACTGGCTTGAATTTGGTGTTTCCTGTGGTGGTGATACATTACCATTTATATAAAAATCTGGTGTTTCCTATACAATTTGTATAACTACATTTTATGTCAAATTTTTATTCTTGGGACTTTTCCAGTGTTCAGGAAGATTATGTAGTAGCACAAAGGTATCTAAGAATAGAAAAGGACCCACTTTTTATCTTAGCTTTTGCCAAATGACTAACAAAAAAATAAAGGTCGGGGCGCCTGGGTGGCTCAGTGGGTTAAGCCTCTGCCTTCAGCTAAGGTCATGATCTCAGGGTCCTGGGATCGAGCCCCACATCTGGTTCTCTGCTCAGCAGGAAGCCTGCTTCCCCCTCTCTGCCTGCCTCTCTGCCTACTTGTGATCCCTCTTCTCTCTCTGTTAAATAAATAGATAACATCTTTAAAAAATAAAAAACAAAAAGTATTTTAAAAAAGGTCATTTTATCTTCTGAGCCTGTCTTATTTGAAAGTGGTAATCTTTTCTTTGAAAGATTAAAACGCTGAATAATGTGCAGTAAATTTAGCATTGCTTTGGGAGTCAGGAGGCCTTGGATTCTATTTACCATGTAAAATCCAAGACCCCTTGCTTTTCTGTTCCAAACGCTGTTTCCGTGTGTGTGTGTGTGTGTGTGTGTGTGTGTGTATGTATAAAGCAGCTAGGTTAGATGAAATTTGATGTCTCAGGTTTAGGATTTGGTCTAAAGCTGACATCATTTTAACATGTTTGTTGAGTAAGTAGTAGGAGTCCTTAGGGAATCTGTAATTGGGGGCGGGGCCTAGTTACCAGTGACCTTAGAGAAAAAAGCTGCATTGATAGATATGGTTCATTCACTTCCTAAGTTAAGCTCTCAAAGCAGAATTCAAATACTTCAAAGGAGAATTAGCAGTGTAGCAATTAAAGCTACCTTTCTGCATGGATCATTACATAGTTGGCCATGATGAGGCCCTTAGGATAAGAGATGCCTAAGGGTTGAGGGGGGAGTCTAGCAGCAGTAAGAAGAATTATGGAAAGTACGTGAGTCAAGTGTTGCTGACTTTGTTTTAATGTGCAAATTATCCCAGTGCAATACTTGACATTCTTATCAGTTTTATAAGGATTTTTAAAAGATCATTGTTTTGTGGGTTTTGTACCAGAATTTCAGCAAGAATCAGAAATGATAATAAATTTTATCTTCCATGGTGGAATAAATATGAATCTTGAGAGCATGGCTATCCATTGAAAATAACTTAGATTGGGAATCATGAACCCTGTTTCTCATTCCATCCCTGTCACAGTAGTCACAGGCTAGTGACTGAACCCATTATGTCAACTACCGCTTAATTTTATGCAGGTGAAAGTAAAATAATAGATGAAAATTGGGGTGAAAGTAAGTTAGCATTTTTTTTTTTAAGATTGTATTTATTTAATTGACACAGAGAGAGGGAACACAAGCAGGGGGAGCAGGAGAGAGAGAAGCAGGCTTCCCATCAAGCAGGGAGCCGGATGTGGGCCTTGATCCCAGGACCCTGGGATCATGACCTGAGTGGAAGGCAGCCGCTTAATGACTAAGCCACCCAGGCTCCCGGTAAGTTAGCATTCTTACTGTCCAAACTTAAAACATTGTTGGGGTGCCTGGCTGGCTTGGTAGAGCATGTGGCTCTTTTTTTTTTTTTTTAACTTTTTTATTTTATATAAATAAATATAACTGATATATATAAACATAATATATATAATATATATAAATATAAATAAATTTATTTATTTGACAGAGAGATCACAAGTAGGCAGGGAGGCAGGCTCCCTGCTGAGCAGAGGGCCTGATATGGGGCTCGATTCCAGGACCCTGAGATCATGACCTGAGCTGAAGGCAGAGGCTTTAACCTACTGAGCCACCCAGGTGCCCCTTTAATTTTTATTTTTTATTTGAGAGAGAGAGTGAGCACACTAGCAGGGGGAGCAGCAGGCAGAGGGAGAGGGAGAAGCAGGCTCCCTGCTGAGCAGGGACTCCCGATTTAGGACTCAATTCCAGGACCCTGGGATCATGACCCCATCGAGGCAGATGCTTAACCCACTGAACCACCCAGGCACCCAAGCATGTGGCTCTTGATCTTATTCTGGATGAAGTTTCATGTTAGGTTACCACTATATGTATGTTCCTTTTTGCTGTTAAGGAGCTTAGGGTCCAAAAGAGGAGTTAAAGACCCAATGACAGTCACAATACAGTGTGAAGGATGGAAGGGGCAGATGCCATTCCAGAGAGAGGGGTACAGCCAAGAGCCATGAAAGGACAAGGCGCGTGTTGGGAAATGGAAAATAGGAAGCAGTGTGATAGAGCTGGAAAGGCACGTTGGTGTCAGATCCACAGAGGGACTTGAATGCCATTGTAAATAGCCTTTTTGTCAGTGACAGTGAAGAACCATTGAAAGTTTTTACAGGGCGGAGCCGACTTGCCAGATTCTAGCTTAGCAGACCTCAGCTGGTGTTCTGAGCTCTTTGGGTAAGTATTGGTTGGTTTTATTGTAGCCTTTACACTTCTTGGATGGAGCTAACCTGAGGAGTGGTATTTTGGTTTTTAGAGCCTTTGGGGGTGAATGTTTCCCGCTCTAGTATTTTATTTCCTCTTTACATGAAGCTATTAGATGGTTGCATTCATTTAAAATTCCAGAATATTGGGGCACCTGGGTGGCTCAGTGGGTTAAAGCCTCTGCCTTCGGCTCAGGTCATGATCCTAGGGTCCTGGGTTTGAGCCCCGCATTGGGCTCTCTGCTCAGCAGGGAGCCTGCTTCCTTCTCTCTCTGCCTACTTGTGATCTCTGTCTGTCAAATAAATAAATAAAATCTTAAAAAATAAAATTCCAGAGTAATAATTCACCCCAGTTGTTGAGCTGCTGTTCACTGTATGTGAGGTATTGCTTTGAGATAACATCATGTGTAATATACGTTACTCCGTGTAATCCTCTACAGACCTCCTAGGGAGGGTGTTGTTCTGGCTTCTTAGTAAGGGAACTTGATGCAGGTCCTTCAGTTATTAGTAAGAGGCAGGGTTGATTCTCAACTTGGATTCCAAAGAGGTCTTCCCGCTACAGGAGACGACAAGTGAATAGAAACCCCGCTTTTTCTGATGGTGTTCTGAGGGAAATATTTAGAATTACTACCCTGTTGCCTTATTACATTTTGGAACTTTTTATTTATTTTTTATTTTAATTTTTAAAAAAGATTTGGGCGCCTGGGTGGCTCAGTTATTGTGCATTTGGCTTTGGCTTGGGTCATAATCCCAGAGTCCTGGGATCGAGTCCCGCATCCGGCTCCTCGCTTGGCAGGAAGTCTGCTTCTCCCTCTGACCCTCACCGCACTTGTGCTCGCTCTCTCAAATAAATAAAATCTTAAAAAAAAAAAAAAAGATTTATTTGAGAGAGTAAGAGAGAGCACAAAGTGGGAGGTGGGGAGAGGGAGAGAGGCAAGCTCCCTGCTTAACAGGGAACCTGATGCGAGGCTCAATCCCGGGACCCTGAGATCATGACCTGAGCTGAAGGCGGATGTTCAACCCACTGAATGACCCAGGCGCCCCCTCATTTTGGAACTTTTTAAATATATTTGCTTGGAAATATTAAGGGCTAATGGAAAGATTCATATCGTTTTTCTACACATGATATTATCGAGTCTCTTTAGAGACCTGGAGGAGCGAAGTGTGAGAGAACCATCTACTCTGAATTCCTACATGATACTATCAGGTTTAAAATTCTGAACGTAATGGGGTGGAAATTGCCT